CTCCAACTCTTGATTCAGCCTTTCGCACTGACCATTAGACTGGGGATGGAATCCAGATGTAAGTGAGGCCTTAGCCCCTAGGCACTGACAGAAACAACGCCAAACTTGGGAAACAAACTGTGGGCCACGGTCAGACACAATTTCCGTCGGCAAGCCATGGAGTCTAAACATATGGTTGAACAAAAGTCTGGCAGTCTGGTGAGCAGATGGAAGTTTGTTCAGTGGTATCAGATGGCATGCCTTGGAGAACCTGTCGATGACGGTGAGGATGACCGTCTTGTGATTGGATGGGGGTAGACCAGTGACGAAATCCAGGGCTATGTGTGACCAAGGACGACTAGGCGTGGGTAGAGGTTGGAGGAGGCCAGAAGGTGGTCTGCTGGAACATTTGTTGCGGGCACAGACAGGACAGGCAGAAACAAACTCAAAAACATCCCTGTTTAGGGACGGCCACCAGAAATATCGTCTGATGAAGGCGATGGTGCGACTGGAGCCAGGGTGACCAGAGAACCTAGATGAATGCCCCCAGCGGATTACCTGGGAACGGACAGCAGAAGGGACATAGAGTCGGCGGGGAGGGCCGCCTCCAGGATCAGGTTCATTCTCCAGCGCCCGTTGAATCTGTTTCTCCAATCCCCAGGCGATTGCCCCAATGACGCAGGATTTGGGGATGATGGTCTCTGGATCAGTGGAATCAGGGGCGGCAGGAAACAGTCGGGACAGTGCGTCTGGTTTAACGTTTTTGGAGCCAGGGCGGTAGGTGATGGTAAAATGGAAACGTGAAAAAAAAAGTGCCCAACGGCTCTGACGAGAGTTCAGGCGTTTAGCAGACTGGATGTAGGAAAGGTTCTTATGATCTGTCCAGATAATAATTGGCAACTCTGTCCCCTCCAACCAGTGGCGCCACTCCTCCAGAGCCAGTTTAATGGCCAGCAGCTCACGATCTCCCACATCGTAGTTTTTCTCGGCTGGAGTGAAACGCCTAGAAAAGAAAGCACAGGGATGGAGCTTGCCATCAGAGACAGACATCTGGGACAGGATGGCCCCGACCCCGGTATCCGAGGCATCGACCTCCATGGTGAACTGGGCCAAAGGATCAGGGTAAACCAGGATGGGGGCTTTTGTGAACCTCTCCTTGAGGAAACGAAAAGCCTGATCGGCTCCAGGAGACCAAGTGAAGATTGTCTTGGTGGAAGTGAGGGCTGAGAGGGGCGAGGCAATGACACTATAGTCCTTGATAAATACTCTGTAGAAATTGGCAAACCCAAGGAAGCGTTGGAGGTCCTTTCGGGTCTTGGGTGTGGGCCAGTCGACCACAGCTTTGACTTTGGCTGGATCCGTCTTCACCTGTCCACCCTCAAAGATGAAGCCGAGGAAACTTATGGACTCACGGTGGAACTCACATTTTTCTGCCTTGACAAATAAACGGTTCTCTAGGAGCCGCTGGAGGACCTGGCGGACGTGCTGCCGATGTTGTTTGGGGTCTCTAGAGAAAATGAGGATGTCGTCTATGTAGACAAACACAAAAAGATTAATGAAGTCTCTGAGTACATAATTTATGAGGGCTTGGAAAACAGCTGGGGCATTAGTTAGGCCGAAAGGCATGACCAGATACTCGAAGTGGCCTATCGGTGTCTTGAAAGCCGTCTTCCACTCATCTCCCTCCCTGATACGGACCAGATGATAAGCGTTGCGGAGGTCCAGTTTGGTGAAGATTGTGGCTCCACGTACTGTATCAAAGGCTGAAGCCAGAAGGGGTAAGGAATATTTGTTTTTGATAGTTATCTGATTGAGGCCTCTGTAATCTATGCAGGGACGTAGTGTTTTATCTCTCTTTTGGACAAAGAAAAAACCTGCCCCAACAGGGGAGGATGATGGACGAATAATGCCCGCTTTCAGTGACTCTGCTATATATCTCTCCATAGCTCCCTGTTCAGAATGAGACAGTTTATAAAGACGAGCTGATGGCAGGGGAGCCCCTGGGAGGAGATCGATGGAACAATCGTAGGGACGATGAGGGGGGAGGCTTAGAGCTAGATCCTTGCTAAACACACGCCGGAGGTAAAGATAATCAGATGGAACTTGGGACAGATCAGGAGGAACCTCTGGGGAAACAGGGTCTACTGAAGAACGGGGAAGGGCTGACTGCAGACACGAAGCCAGACAACTGGTGCTCCATGTTTCAATTCGTGACTCCCTCCAATTAATTAGAGGGTTATGGGCTGCCAACCACGAATAGCCCAAAACAACAGGAGAGTGTTTGGTGGGAAATACAAAAAAAGAGAGGTCTTCATGATGATTACCAGAAGAAATGAATTTAAGGGGAAGTGTCTGATGGGTAATGGTGACTAGGGGGCTGCCGTCCAAAGCAACTACTGAGACTGGAGATGGTAACAAACGAACAGGTATGTGAAGTCTGTTAACCAAGGCTGGATCAATAAGATTCTGCTCTGAGCCGGAATCTATGAGGGCTGAGACCGGATGTTGTGACTCTTGGAAACAAATAACAGATTGTAAAAGAAACCAGGGAGCGGGGGTCTCAGAACACGCGCCCGCCAGTATCCCCTGGACTACTGGCGGGCTGGATCTTTTGGGCGGACGGGACAGTCAAAACGAAAATGCCCAGAGGTGCCACAGTAGAGGCACTGTTTAGCCCTCATACGCCTGTCTCTTTCTTCCGGGGACAGGTGAGCCCTGCCTAGTTGCATGGGTTCGTCCAACGGTTGGCTCTCTGGGAGAGCCGAACGGTAACTAGGAGGCGTGACCGAGGAGGGAGGGGCGAGGCGTCGCGCTGGAAGAGGGTCCTGTCCCCGTCTCTCACGGGCTCTTTCACGGAGCCGATCGTCCACCCGAATGGCTAGACCGATCAGTTCCTCTAGGTCTGATGGTTTGTCTCGGGTGGCTAATTCATCTTTTAATTTTTCGGTGAGTCCATTAAGAAACGCCGCTTTAAGAGCTAGGGCGTTCCAACCTGTCTGAGAAGCCAGGGTCCGGAACTCGACCGCAAAGTCGGCTACCGAGCGGCCTCCCTGTTTCAGAGACCACAGTCTCTTAGCAGCCTCCTCCTCGCTTAACGAGGAGGAGAACGTTCTTTTGAACCGTGCGAGGAAGTCAGCATAACTAAGACTGAGGATGCTCGTTTCATCAATAAATGACTCCGCCCAACTCAAGGCTCTATCTCTGAGGAGACCGACAACATAGGAAATCCTCCCAGCGTCATCTGGAAAAGACTGGGGGGAACGACAGAAGACTAAGGAGCACTGCAATAAGAAACCCCTGGACTTACTGAGCTCACCAAAGAAAGGTTCTGGAGTAGGCGCGGACACCCCGACACCAGAGGTCGAAGGCGGCGCGATATCAGCGGGAGGTTGGACAGCTGGGGGAGAAGGAGAGGTAGGTTGATTCATGCTTAATTGTCCTCTTAGGTCCTGAATCTCGTGAGTCAGTAAACTCATGGCTTGACAAAGTTGTGCCTGCTGTTGGCTCATAGATTGTAATAGAGCCTCATGCTGTCCTAGCAATAACCCCTGGTGGGAAACTGCGCTCCGAAGTTGCGCCCCTGAGTCAGGCTGGTCAGTTCTTTCTGTCATGATAGAAAAGAACGACTCAGGATCAGAGCAACCACGGAGACAGACAGTTAGTTTTAACTGGTTTATTGTAAAATGCTGGTAGACAGGTGATGACTGGTTTGGTATCTTCTGGTCTGCTTGGAGGGCGAAGGAGGTGGTCAGAAACAGCCTGTGGCAGTAAGAATGTGGAGAGCTCAAAACTCACAGAGTGGGAGGCTTGCCCGGAGCCAGGGGGGGGGTGAAGTCTGTGGTCCGGTGCAATCCAGCGGTTCCCTCAGTCCCTCTTGTGCAGATGGTTTTTGAGGGTGGACAGGCAGGCGATCAGAGGAGTCCAGCTCCCTGGCTTGTGATTTCTCTGGCTTGGATTTCTGGTTCTAAGGAGGAAAAGACAGAGACAAAATATCAGGTCTGGTTCGGATGAAACTCGGAAAGTTTGTTGGGTCAAGTACCACGCTGGAAGCGAGAAAGAACTGACGCCCTCCTCCTGGTCTCTGCTCCTTAAGAAGGGCTGAAATCAGCAGTGATGAGGAGCACCTGCCAGTCCACCCTGCAGAGAAGAGAGAGAGAGAGACAACCCATCCCTGAACCCAGGCCTGGAGCATGACATCAACTGACATACCAACTGGTGTTGGTTTGACCAAAGGCAGTCAGGAATTTTACAGACTTATTTGCAGTTTTGTATTTACCATTGAATAGTCCACTTTGGGGAGTCCAGGAAAGCTACCGCACTTAAGAGCTTAAACCTCTTAACACCCGCCCAATTTTAAGTCATCCTCACCTATTTTTCATAACCAAATGGAAAAGCATATAACTGAGGAGCTGTACTGTAAGCTCAGATTATATCTTTGATACATCATTTAAAAGCTAACATCTTCTAGTTTTTGAAAATATAATTTAAATAAGTGTGACTAAAACACATCCTAAACTTCATCAGGTCAAACATGACTGAAAGTTATTTTCTTCTCGAATTGGTGTTTTTTGAACAGTACTAACAAAGACATGCTTTAGAAATGGCATTTTATTACATTTGTTCTACATTATGTAAACCACAACTGCAGAAAATTTCAGACCTCTAGCTACAAGAGTTTCAGAGCTGAACTTTGAACATTCGGTGTCACCAGCATCTCTGAACCTCTCCAATTTGTGCCAAATGCTTTTACTCAACAAAATAACCCCATAGAATAACACTGAAGCATTTTGATGGCAGCGAAACACTTTTGAAGCAAATATTTTTCCACTTTTAAAAATATTCATCTGATGATTGACTGATGAAGTCACCACCCATGTAAACTGATCGTACCGTTTCTTGATTCATCTTTTTTTTAAATATATTTTAGACCATACAGTATAATGGAAAAACATGACAAACCACTTTGAACTAACACATAAGAAGCTGTAAATTGAACGTGAAGATGAAACTGATTTGTTGTGATTTCAGAGACTTTGACCAACACCAGAGAGGAATCTTGAAGCTGAAAGATTTTTAAATCCTCCATCCTGAAGGTGAGAAGCTGAGCATCAAGTTGATCTGCTTCAGAAACTACAGCATTTCCCTGTGAACGTCTATCTATAAATGTTTTATTCTTTGTCTTTTAAGGCTTCCAGTAGATCTGAGCAGTTGTGAAAGGCCTCCTGTCCTGGTCTTCTAGTGAGTCAGGATGTTGTTTTAATATCTGGGTGTTTTTGTGTCTTTAAAGGTCTGAAGCTGCAGATAGAGAAAGACAACAATACCTGAAGACACCTTCAGTCGTTACCATGGCAACTTCATCTCAAACAACTAATGAAGAATTATCAGTGGCTCTTCTGAACATAAATGGCCTCAGGAACAAAACTGAAGATATTCGACACATAATATCCCGGGATAAGGTCCATGTTTTGGCTCTGTGTGAAACTAAATTAGACGCTTCAGTTGCAGACAGTAAAGTTTATATTCCAGGTTTCAGGATGTGGAGGAAGGACAGGGACTGCTATGGAGGGGGGGTTGCTCTCTATGTTCAGGATCATATTGAAGCTAAAGAAAGGACCGACCTGATGAAGACTACAGCTGAGATTATTTGGGTTGAGATGAAGATTTATGGCAGCAGAGCAGTTCTACTGGGATGTTGTTACAGACCACAAATTAAAGATAAAAAAAAAGAGGTTAAATGTTTGGTTAAATTCTATAAGAATATGACTGCGATGTTAAAGGAGAAGGAGGAGAAAGACATTTTTTTGATGGGAGACTTAAACATTGACTTGAAAAAAGATTATTGCCTGCTGAGTTATATTGCTGCAGAAGTTTCATTACACTGGGGATTTAAACAGATTGTAAAAGATCATACAAGAGTGACCAAAACAACAAAGACGTGCATTGATCACATTTATACAAATGTTCCAGATCTTTGCTCAGAACCAAAATCCAGGGTAACTGGTTGCAGTGACCATAATCTCATTACTGTCACTGTCAAAATAAATATTCATAAAGGGGTTGGATGGTCCAACCAAGAGTTTGATCCAAAGAAATTTCAAACTGATATAAAAAGTGCTGACTGGAAGGATGTCTATGAAGAGTCTGATCCCCAGAAAGCTCTGACCTTGTTTACCGAGAAGTTTCTCCCAATAGCAACTAAAAACATGCTGTTTCAGCCCCAAGATATTTATGATGCACTGAAGCTGGATGAGGAGTCTGAAACTTTAATCTCTAAAAGAGATCAAGCAGAAGGGGACAACCGTAAGCAGTTAAAGAAAAAAGTTGTGGAACTTTTTAAGAAAAAACAGAAAATAGGTTTCAGACAGAACCTTGAGGAAGCTGAAAATGATCCTGAAAAGGTTTTAAAAGTGTTTGAAGAGTTTTTGGGAAAAAGTTTGCCTTCATATGTGATCAACATTACAGAAGAAGGAGCTGTGACCTCAAAGGTAGAACATCTATATCCCTGCTGTCAAACCTACACTGGAACCAAAGATTTAGAGTCAATCTTTGAAGGTTCTAGAGAAGACGAGAGGTCAGGTTCATTTAGCTTTAAAGAGATTGATGCTGAAACAGGGAAGAGATTATTGGAGCATCTCTGTGATCATGTGACTCATGGAATCAATGAAACTGAGGCTAAGCTGCTGAAACGTTCAGCTGATGACATCTCTGCTCCCATCTGTCACATCCTGAACAGATGCATCAACAGCAACACGTTTCCTTCTGAGCTGAAAGAGTTTATGAGAATCCCATCTTCCCTGAATAACATGACTCAGCTCAGTGATGTTAACAGTCTCCACGTTATGTTAGGTTGGATCTTTGACATCGTTCTGTTTTTACAGGCCAAGCAGCATTTTATTGATGAGGAGCTGATCCCTTCAGCAACAGTTCAGGATGAAATCAATCAAATAAAATCTGCTTGGCTGAAAGCAACAGCAGAAGGAAAAATAGTTCAAGCTGTGTTCTTCGATTTCAGTTCTTCCTTTGACACCATCAGTCATGACCTGCTACAGAAAACACTGTTATATTTTGAGTTATCGGGGCCAGCTTGGTCTCTGATAGAAAGCTTTCTCTCCCACTGTGAAGGTTCCTGTGGTCTTCCTCCAGGAAGTTTCCTCTCTGAACTCCTCTTTAAAGTCTTTATTAAGAGACTCTTTCAATATTCCTATCCTTTAATCAGTAATGGTTGGGCCATGCTTTACTACGCTGATGGAGACGCTCAGAGGATAAAGACAATGTTGGATAAAAAAGTAAAATCTGTATGGAATCGGGCTGAGAAATATAACATTTCAATTAAACAAGAAACCAGACCAGAACCATTCAAAACCAGGGATACAGACATTTTTGACATTCTTCAATCTCTGTATCAGAGCCATCAAGATCAGTTAAGCTGGATCAGAGCTTTGGGGGTCATAATGCAGAACCGTGATGTTTGGTACAGTGATAAGATCTTAGAAAAACTAGAGGAATGTTTTACTAAGACACGCCTTAAAGCTTTACCTGCGACAGTTAGAGAGAGTGCCCTCAATTCACTGCGGCTGTCTAGATCTAAGCCAAGGGACGTTGGAGACGTTAGGTCAGAGGAAGCTGAGTAAAGATTGAGAATGATGGAGGTAAGGAAGATGGTTTAATCCCTTTATGGTCCAAGTGGTGAAATCTACCCTCTGGGTTTAACAGCATTCATCAGAGAGCAGCTCCACACTGAGTGGAGTCCGGGGAGAACCCTGTGGTAACAACCAGAGTAACAATCTGAATACCAAATTGGTGATCTTGTGACCCCGACAGAGCACTAACAGTCTCCAACCACAAGGGTACAGTTGCCTCACAATGTGTGTACAGATTCTCTGGCTAAAATAGGAGGCAAATAGACTTTTGCTCAGTTTTTTGAAAGTATTCAGCTTCTGCTCTCCTGGCAGCTACAGCTCCTCCTGCAGCTTCATCTTCCTTCTCTTCTCATTTTGCTCCTGGTTCCCTGATCCTTTTAGAAGGACCTGGCATCTCTCATAAAGTTTAATTACAAGCAGTTGACTTTAGTCTGTATCACTGTTTCCATCTAATTTTTAAGTGAATTCTGAGTAATCTATTACAATGTCACACAAACATGTAAATTAGCCCACATCAGCGATGTTACAGCCATCCTGAGACGTCCAGAAAGAAATATGGCTCTAAGGCAACATTCAGGAAGCTGGCAGAGGACAGAGCTGATTAGTTATGTTAGGTAAATGTTTGATGCCTCTTTCAACAAAAGTGTTTTAATCTCCTCCTTCATGCATTTAGTAATTGTGAGATTTGAATCTGGCTTTTCAATCAACCCTTATAAATGTACACTCACCGGCCACTTTATTAGGTACCCCATGCTAGTAACGGGTTGGACCCCCTTTTGCCTTCAGAACTGCCTCAATTCTTGGTGGCATAGATTCAACAAGGTGCTGGAAGCATTCCTCAGGGAGTTTGGTCCATATTGACATGATGGCATCACACAGTTGCCGCAGATTTGTCGGCTGCACATACATGATGCGAATCTCCCGTTCCACCACATCCCAAAGATGCTCTATTGGATTGAGATCTGGTGACTGTGGAGGCCATTTGAGTACAGTGAACTCATTGTCATGTTCAAGAAACCAGTCTGAGATGATTCCAGCTTTATGACATGGCGCATTATCCTGCTGAAAGTAGCCATCAGAAGTTGGGTACATTGTGGTCATAAAGGGATGGACATGGTCAGCAACAATACTCAGGTAGGCTGTGGCGTTGCAACGATGATCAATTGGTACCAAGGGGCCCAAAGAGTGCCAAGAAAATATTCCCCACACCATGACACCACCACCACCAGCCTGAACCGTTGATACAAGGCAGGATGGATCCATGCTTTCATGTTGTAGACGCCAAATTCTGACCCTACCATCCGAATGTCGCAGCAGAAATCGAGACTCATCAGACCAGGCAACATTTTTCCAATCTTCTATTGTCCAATTTCGATGAGCGTGTGCAAATTGTAGCCTCAGTTTCCTGTTCTTAGCTGAAAGGAGTGGCACCCGGTGTGGTCTTCTGCTGCTGTAGCCCATCTGCCTCAAAGTTCCACGTACTGTGCGTTCAGAGATGCTCTTCTGCCCACCTTGGTTGTAACGGGCGGTTATTTGAGTCACTGTTGCCCTTCTATCAGCTCGAACCAGTCTGGCCATTCTCCTCTGACCTCTGGCATCAACAAGGCATTTCCGCCCACAGAACTGCCGCTCACTGGATGTTTTTTCTTTTTCGGACCATTCTCTGTAAACCCTAGAGATGGTTGTGCGTGAAAATCCCAGTAGATCAGCAGTTTCTGAAATACTCAGACCAGCCCTTCTGGCACCAACAATCATGCCACGTTCAAAGTCACTCAAATCACCTTTCTTCCCCATACTGATGCTCGGTTTGAACTGCAGGAGATTGTCTTGACCATGTCTACATGCCTAAATGCACTGAGTTGCCGCCATGTGATTGACTGCTTAGAAATTAAGTGTTAACGAGCAGTTGGACAGGTGTACCTAATAAAGTGGCCGGTGAGTGTATGTTTGCTAAGCCAGTTATAATTTTATTATCATATTCCAAAATGCCTCTTGTTTTCACAAGTGGAAAAGTAAAATCTGTTACGCACTTTTTGGCATCAAGAAAATTATTCTTATTGCCAAATCGCCTGACAGGACACTTTAAAAAAAAAAAAAAAGAAAAAAAGCGCAGTTTTGTTTTTGTTTTTTTACCTCCTGAATCTATGAAAAAAAAATCCTTTTAAGGGGTTAAATTTAGCACAAATTTAATGCAAGTTATTCACATCTGTGTAAACACATTACCTTTCTGATATAAATAATATGTAAATGCATCTTTTTGCTACATTTAATATTGAACAGACTGCCTTCAGATATTCATTTTCTGTACAAGTGTGTCATATGTAAACAGGACTGATTGTTTTTAATGAACTTTATTCTATACAACGAAATAAAATATTATTCACAGAACTTTATAAACGTGGTTATTAATTATATTTTTTATCTGTAATGATTTGTTTTAATTTAAAAATCCTAAACTTCTGCATTCTGTTAATTTCTGTCATGATTTTTCTAAGGCTCGGACCCACATGCAGTGAAGCCAAACAGAGAGACGCAGAATAAAGTTCAATGGGTTTTATTGAAGGTTATTTGGAGTTCGGTGGTAGAGTTCCTCCAAACTCTGCTCAGCCGGAAACTGGAAGACGAGGGGAAGACAGACTGTTAGATTCAGGCTCAGTGGGAAATTGGAGTTGTTAATCTTGAAGGAGAGGATTTGTTGCCACTCACGTTTCCAGAGAAGAAGAGACACGTAGACTCCAGTCTGTGTGTTGGTCTTCCAGAGTTTGTTTGATTCGGTGCAGGGCTGAACAGGGTTTACCCAGAACTCGGACGGAGTGGAATGATGCAGCCGCTGGTTGCAACTCAATTTTCCTATGGTACTTAAACGGGTCGTGGGGAAGATGATTTCCTTACTCAGTGATCTCAGCGTGCTCAAAGGTGGCTGGATCCAAACTTCCTGTTTGGAATCCGTCGCTCAGTGTAAGACTCAGTTGATCCCACTTGGGAGAAGGCGGTCCGAAAAGGTCCAGTTTGCAGGAAGGCTTCCTGCCGAAAGGCAAAGAACAAACAAAGCTGAGACTCAGGGAGAAACAAGCGCTCAGTTAAACTCAATGAGATCTCAGCTTGGCTAGAGGACAAAAACTCGGAATGCAAAACTCAGATTAGACTCAGCATTAACAAGGCTTGGCTAGAGTACCCCAAACTGGTAAACACTCTGGCGTCGAAGTAGTGGCAACCAGCAGCTTAAAGGAATAGTACACCCAAAACATGATTAGCCTTCATTTTCTACTCACCCCCATGCTGAACAACACTCTGGAGTACTTTTTTAATATCTCAAATGCATCTGGAGATCTGGGAGGCTTCTTGCTGTCTGCTGACATTCAAATAATGGAGGTCTATGGCGCCCGAGACAGAAAGGTCCATAAAAGTCCACAAAAAACGTGTCAATATTCCTCCATACTGCTCGTCCAATGTATTCCAAGTGTCCTGAGTGGGTAGCATCCAGAATTTACTCGAAACGAAGTCATTTAGAATGTTTTTAGAGCATAAACAGTAGTGTATAGGATTTCCTGAAAGCGAAATTTTATTCTTACCAAGAAAAAATGTAGACTAAGAAATCCACTTAAAAAACAAAATTTTTTTTTATTATTATTTATTTTTTTATTTGACAGGGACAGTAAAATTAAACATTGCAACCAAACAGGTGGCCGATGTCCAAGTACATAAGGCTTGTAGCCATGGGCTAATTTGCAGCTTTCGTCCCTGGTTAGGCTTTTAAAAGGTGTTAGCATTAAGGGGGAGGGAGGTTAGTAACGACACACAGATGCATAAAAAAACTAAACAAGAAAAGTAAAAAAAAAACAAAAAAAAATGTACAGTACAAGCCAGTTTAGTGCTCACACTCTTGATTGTCTTTGAGCCATTTTTTCAATCTTGTGGAGAAAAGTCGAATATCAGTCTGTGACTGAAGCTCCAGAGGCAAAGAGTTCCAGAGATGTGATGCTTTCACTGAGAAGGCAGACTGACCCATAGATGTCCGACATCTTTTAATCCTGCAGTTCCCACTAGCTCCACCTCTTTTCCTGATTCCTTCATTTGCAAACTTTAAAACAAATTTACAGATTACTTCAGGGCCAAGACCATTAAGGCATTTAAAAATAGCTTTTAAAAATGAGAAATTTATAAAAATGTTCAAATGTCATCATGTTGTATTTTTTTATAATTTTGATTGATGCCACTTCACCGGTTTTTGATAGAATATTTTTAATGTTTGCTTGTGAAGTGAGAGTAAAGGTTAAAGCAGACTTTGTGGCCTGGGCCCAAACATAAAAAGCGGCTCTTTGTCAAGAAACTCATAAAAACATCCAGAGTTTTTCCACAAATGAATCAGACTAAAGGAATCCGCTCTGAACTGGATGAGAGGAGTTTCCTGTGGTTAAGCAGCTGGACTGGAATTGCTCCAGCCTGGAGACCATGATCATCCGTCTGATCGCTGGTCCTTCTGTTGGGTGATCAAATGTCTGGTCTTAGACCGTTTTCTCATAAAGGTGTTGGTGTGGATTCTCCTACCAAGTCTATGTTCTAACTCTAAAGCCACACCACACAAAATAAAACTAGTTTTTAAGTTAAACCATCCAAAAGACTCTTGAAGCTCCGCTTTTGTCAATGTTTTTTTCATCATTACTAATCATATTATTTACTGTAAGAATTCTTTACAGAAATGCATCATAAGGTTAAAAAGTAGCTCATCACTTTTTCATGTTATCAAAAAAAAAAAAAATGAGTGAAAAGTGAGTCACGGGACATGAAATCTGGGTGTTTCCCATTTCGAAATGTGTTGCATAAGAGAAAATAAGGAAATGTGGTATTGCTCCCACACTGAGTGGGAGGAGGGATCAGGCAGAGTGCGGTGCTTCCTATAACAGGCTGCCTGTTTCGTTTCAAGCCAGAGGAAGAAGCTGATGAATCCGTGGAGCTCCGATATCCAACATCATAACTTAATCCAACTTTTTACTCATTTAATCTCCATGACTTTAAACTGTTTGGAGACCTGTGGATTTTGATGTTCTCAAAGTTTTTACAAACAGGTTAGTTACTTTTTTTTTCCTTTTTGCAGATCTTTTAAAACTGACTCAAAGTGTTTGTATGAAAGTCCACAGCTTTGAGTAAAGGCATTTATCCTAAGCTGTAAAACACATGAAGCTGCCTCTAAACTGAAAAAAATTTACTGCTACCCTTTGTTTTTAATTTATTTGTAAATCTATATCCCTCAACAGGCAAATACATGTATTGCATCTTACTAAACAAAACTATTGAAATAAGCTCTCAACTAAATAATTGTAAGTAAAATATCCATGAATACCTGACCTTACCTGACCCTGTTCAGATCAGAAATAGAAGATATTGTTTTTTTTCTTGGCTGCACTGTTGCTCAGTTTGTAGCACTGATGCCTTTTAGTTAAAAGGTTGTGGGTTTGATCCCCGGTCTTTCACTGCAAAAAATATAAATCTCAATAAGTTATTTTTTCTTAAAATAAGTGTGTTTTTCCTTGATTTGAGGAGGTAAGTAAGACACTTTGCCAATGGAACAAGACAATTTCCTTTTAAAATAAGAAAAAACTATTTTATCGTCTTATTTCAAGTAAATATTATCTAACTATCTTATTTTAAGAGTGAAAATACTCATTCCATTGGCAAATCATCTTATTTACCTGCTCAAATTAAGGCTAAATATACTTAATTTAAGCCATTTTTTACTTATTTCTGGATTGTTTTTGCAGTGATGCAGTGTGCATGGGCAGGTTCTTTCTGGGTGTTCTGGCTTCTTCTCACAGTCACAAAATAAGCTGCGCCTCTAACTTGTCATTCTGCGTGATTTGTGCATGATTATATGTCTGTGCCTCTCTTTTTAAAATTAAGTAGCAAAACAAAAGTTAATCTTTTGTTGAGAAGAGAAATTTGGTGGTAAACTTTATTTAAGTTTGTTTGTTAAATCAACACTTCTTAGTAAGTACGTAAAAGTAAAAAAAAAAATCCACTGGACTTGGTTTCCAAGGTTTGAAGACGTTTCGCTTCCCGTCCAGGAAGATTTCTCAATTCAAATGTCTTCTTAGTAAGTAAAATCAATTCTTATTTTCACTGAGTGATATTCACTGGATAACTTTTCTGTTAATGGAAAAACTCGCTGTGATTCTGCTGGACTTAAATACCTCACTAGTTTTGAACTTCAGTATTATTCTAATTTACTGTGAAGCTCAATAAGAAGTGTGATGTTATGAGGCCTCGCTAGCAGCGGTCATGTGACTATATATATATATATAGGTTAATAGACTATATTAATTACGCTACATATGCTTCTAAAAAAAATCCACCTTCTCTCTTTTTTTTCACAACTAGACTACTGCATACAGATACTGAACAAAAAGCTCTGTCTTTTCAGTAGGATCTAAGCCAGTCTAGTACTTTACTAAAGAGGGAAACCCAATTTTCCAGGAACTCTAATAATATGTGGTGATTAACGGCGTAGAATTTTTCACTAAAGTCTAAGAATGCACATCTAAATTTAAAGAAGCTTTGAAAGAAAAAACTCAACAGTGAAATAGATGAAACAGTGACTGTGATTTATTGTGATTTCAGAGACTGAACCCAGACTTAAAGGGGTTTACTGTAACTGCGGGCCTTTAGGACCTTGAGGAAAAAGAAGATGTGTTGTACCTCCGTCATGAAGGTGAGAAGCTAAACATCAAGGATCTGAAATTGCAGCATCTCTCTGTTAAGTTCTGACTATAAATAACTTTTTCTTTGTCTTTAAAGGCTTCCAGTAGATCTGATCAGCTGTGAAAAGCCTCCTGTCCTGGTCTTCTGGTCAATCAGGGTGTTTCTTTAATATTTGGGATGACTTCGTGTCTTAAAACGGCTCACACTCCAGATGGAAAAAGACAACTTTACCAGCGGACATCTTCAGTCGCTGCCATGGGAACTCCATCACAATCAACTGATGAAGAATTATCAGTGGCTCTTCTGAACATAAATGGCCTCAGGAACAAAACTGAAGATATTCGTCACATAATATCCCGGGATAAGGTCCACGTTTTGGCTCTGTCTGAAACTAAATTAGACGCTTCAGTTGCAGACAGTAAAGTTTATATTCCAGGTTTCAGGATGTGGAGGAAGGACAGGGACAGCTATGGAGGGGGGGTAGCTCTCTATGTGCAGGATCATATTGAAGCTAAAGAAAGGACCGACCTGATGAATCCTGAAGTGGAAATCATTTGGGTTGAGATGGAGATTCCTGACAGCAGACCAGTTCTACTAGGATGTTGTTACATACCAAATAATGAGGATACAAAATATTTGGTTAAACTCTATGAGAGCATAACTAAGATGTTGAAGAAGAAGGAGGAGAAAAATATTTTCGTGATGGGAGACTTTAACATTGACTTTAAAAAAGACTCTCTGCTGAGTTATATCGCTGAAAAAGTTTCATCTAAATGGGGGTTTAAGCAGATTGTAGAAGATCCTACAAGACTAACCGACAAATCAGCAACGTGCATTGATCACATTTACACAAATGCTGCAGATCTTTGCTATAAACCTGAATCCAGGGTAACTGGTTGCAGTGACCATAACCTCATCACCGTCACTGTCAAAATAAAGATTCCTAAACGGGTCAGAAGGTTGAGGTCAAATCAAGACTTCAATTTAGACACATTTCTTGCTGACATAAAAAGTGCTGACTGGAAAGCTGTCAGTGAGGAGTCCGATCCTGAGAAATCTCTGCTGATGCTAACTGAGAAGTTTCTGTCAATAGCAGATAAAAACGCCTCAATTCAGACCAAAGATATTTATGATTCATTGAGGCCAAAGGACAGGTTGGAAACTTTAATCAGTGAAAGAGATCAGGCAGTAGGAAAAATGAAAAAGAGGTTGAAGAAAAAAGAGCTGGAAGATTTTGTTAAAAAAAATAAAAAAAAATATTTCCAGCAGATTTTTGAGGAAGCTAAAAATGATCCTAAAAAGCTTTTAAAAGTGTTTGAAGAATTTTTGGGAGAGAGTTTGCCTTCATATGTGATCAGCATTACAGAAGAAGGAGTAGAACATCTTGATCCCTGCTGTCAAACCTTCACTGGAACCAAAGATTTAGAGTCCATCTTTGAAGGTTCCAGAGAAGACGAGAGGTCAGGTTTATTTAGCTTTAAAGAGATTGATGCTGGAGCAGTGAAGAGATTATTGGAGCATCTCTGTGATCATGTGACTCATGGAATCAATGAAACTGAAGCTAACCTGCTGCAATGTTCAGCTGATGACATTTCTGCTCCCATCTGTCACATCCTGAACAGATGCATCAAGAGTGAAATGTTTCCTTCTGAGCTGAAAGAGTTTATGAGAATCCCATCTTCCCTGAATAACTTGACTCAGCTCAGAGATGTTAACAGTCTCCACGTTATGTTAGGTTGGATCTTTGATATTGTTCTGTTTTTACAGTCAAAAAAGTATTTAATTAAGTGGAAACTAATCGCCTCAGCAACAGTTCAGGATGAAATTATTCAAATAGAAACTGCTTGGCTGAAAGCAACAGCAGAAAGGAAAATAGTTCAAGCTGTGTTCTTGGATTTCAGTTCTTCCTTTGACACCATCAGTCATGTTCTGTTAAAGAAAAAACTGAAAACTTCTGGTTTCTCACCTTCAGCTCGTTCTCTGATAAAAAGGTTTCTCTCCTTTGGTCAAGATCCTCATGGTCTTCCTCGAGGAAGCCTCCTCTCTCAACTGCTCTTCACCGTCTTTATCAAGAGTCTCTTACGCACATCCAGTGCTGTTATCTGGGACGGTTGTGCCATGGTTTACTCTGCTAATCAAAACGATCAGAGTATAGAGACAGAGTTAGGTGATATAGTGAAATCAGTAAGTGATCAAGCTGCAACATTCAACATTTCACTTAGAGAAACCAGACCAGAACCATTCAAAACCAGGGATAAAGACATTTTTGACATTCTTCAATCTCTGTATCAGAGCCATCAAGATCAGTTAAGCTGGATCAGAGCTTTGGGGATCATAATGCAGAACTATGGTGTTTGGTACAGTGATAAGATCTCAGAAAAACTAGAGGAATGTTTTACTAAGACACGCCTTAAAGCTTTACCTGCGACAGTTAGAGAGAGTGCCCTCAATTCACTGCGGCTGTCTAGATCAGAAGTCAGAACCAAGGGACGTCGGAAAAGTAAGGTCGGAGGAAGCTGAGTAAAGATGGAGAATAATGGAGGTAAGGAAGATGGTTTAATCCCTTTATGGTCCAAGTGGGGAAATCTACCCTCTGGGTTTAACAGCATTCATCTGAGAGCAGCTCCACACTGAGTGGAGTCCAGGGAGAACCCCGTGGTTCAGGATCTAACTCAGGGTACCCATCTGAGGTCCAGACTAGTGATCTAATGACTTCCCAGGACGCTAAAAATCTCCAACCATTAGGTAACTGCTGTGTCACAACACATCTATGAAATTCAGGCATAAATTAGTGGCAACCAGACTTTGGCTCAGTTTTTTGAAAAAGTTTTAACACCTAAATGGAGACTTTATCAGCTCAATCCAGAGCATCAGTTCTCAAACATGTTCACATTAGTCAAATAATTATATGACATCTTCAGCAGCCATCATGTGCTGGATAAGATTATTTTTACTTGTTTTATATCAGTTGGATGTGTGATAGTGAGGAGAAATCTAGAGCACAAAATGCAGTAGCACTTGGGGCTTAGGATTTAGAGCAGCTCTAGTTGGAGCTCTGGCGTTTTTAATCACTTGGAGGACCTTCTTCCTGGATGAATTCACAGCCAGAACCAGATTAATTACCCAACCATCATGCTCTTGGTTGTAAACTCTAAGTTTTAAACTCTATGTTTAACAACCAGGAAAACTATGAACAGGACTAACCTTTGATGATCAGGAATATAGGGTTTGGTCAGAGAGGACAGGTGGTTTGAAAGAGGGTTGAAGGAAGCCATTTATGTCTAAAGACGTAACCTATTCTCATTATGAGTGCGTATGAAATCGTACGAAAAGTTATGCACCGTAAATTTGGACGTTTTTTTCGTCGTATGCGCATGCGCATTCACGAATATAGAATATAAATTACAATTAGCCCTAACCCTAACCCTTTTCCTGTCTGCCAGCGCATGCGCACTGATGTGGTTTTTTTGTGGAAAAATGTCCAAAACGTACGAAATAGTGTGCATAACTTTTCGTATGATTTCATACGCACTGATAATGAGAATATGTTGAAAGACGGGGGGGCGCTGTGGTTTCAGTTTCTGTAATAGCCAAAGTGTCAAAACAAAGTAAAGACACTTTGGTTGAACAGTAACATGTTATGAATAAACCTTGAGAAAAAAATTCTGGTTTATTATGGGAATAAATATGTCTTCTATGCAAACACTCCTGTCACTCAGACATTCAGACAAACACATTCCTAAATGTTCGATATCAAAAACATCAATTATGGAAACGATTTGGAACAATGAGAAATGAAGGTGTGTTCTCTTTCAGGTGGATTGATCAATCCCCATGTGTCCACCTGGTTGTTATTTTCAACTAGTGTATGAACTACAGCTGTCTTTATGAATTAATGGGTCAGTAAAGGGGCCGTTATCATTGAACGGGCCCCAAATCTGATTAAAATCTCCAGCCAGGAAGATATCCACCTCCATTTCCCCCAAGATTGCATTCACTTCATGGAAGAGGCCTGCATCTCCTTGTGTGGAGATTGCTTCCCTTTGCTAACAGCATACAGACAGAGCATTCTACCCTGTCTGTCAGAAAAAGCCATCTGAAAGGAGAAAATAATTGTAAAAATAAAACAAATATATTAGATGTTGTGTTCTATCTATTGTGGATTCTGTAATACATTAGCAAGGTACTTGAAGACGATCTTTTATTAAAGTCATGATTAATCTGGTATGACTCTTTTCGTCGCCGTAACTCACTGATCTCTATATTTATCCACTGCTAAAAAAAAAGTGAAGCCACTGGCTGCCATATTGGTACTCCCAACTCCCACGGAGATGCACCATAAAAATGCCTAGATATGTAGCATTAGGTTACAACAACAAGCAGTTTGCTGGCTCTAGGAAGATGCTTCACAGGTAATAGTTACAGTCTGTGGATGTACTAACCAAGAAAATCCACCTATACACTGATGTATCCTGTAGTATATTATGAAGTGTAACATTCGTCTAGCTATCTCAGACTGACTGGAAGACATTGACTTTTAGCCAACGACATTGTGTCTAACTTTAGAAATAAATGGTAAGTGGTAAATGGCCTGTACTTATATAGACAATGGCTTGACTCCACCCTATACTAGCAATGGATTGGTGTGATTTGGTGATGCAGTGCTTAGCGCACACAAACCATGTACCCATGTCAGTCCTCGACGTGGGTGACCTGGGTTCGAATCCAGCCTGTGGTTCTTTCTTACATGTCTTTTTCTCCTCTCTCATACCCCCTTTCCTGTTAGCCTACTGGTAAGAGGGCCCCCTCGTTTACACTATGCTTCTATAACTCAATTTAGACTTAACTTTATATATATGATATATATATATATATATATATATATATATATATATATATATATATATATATATATATATATATATATATATATATATATATATATATATATATATATATATATATATATATATATATATATATATATATATATATATATCTCAACAAGTGACTATGTTGTCAATAAAGTTGAGTATATATATATATAAACAAGTGAACAAACTATGAAAACCTTTCCCACCCAGGTAAACACTAGCTTCAAAGCCTCATCTGCTTAAAAGAGCTGTTCTGTATGAACACAACATCTGCTTTAATTTTTTTGAAGATATGTCATTATTTTCCCCAGTTACAATAACATTTTTTTTTTGTTTTTTTGTCTGTACTAACAATGTAAAAGAAAAAAAGCAGAAAAGCAATGTTTAACATAAACTTGCAAACCTACTTCTTTCCAATGAGATGCCATCTATCAAACAGAGTAATTAAAATCACCAAGCTTCAACCAGTGGTCGCAGAGAGCGGCTGAGATCTCAGGACACTTGAAACATTTGAAAACATGTACATGAAACCAGTCTGAAAATCTAAAGCGGATTCATTTTCCCACTGCCAGAACAAACTGAATCACAAATTAAATAATTAAACAATACTAAAACAATTATATGTGGAAAGTTTACTTGCGTGATGACAAATTGTATAATTTACACCGTCAAGATATAATGTTCCTCAGTGGCAGATTTACACATTCTGTGTGAACTTAGGAACCTTTGGAGACATCATGTTTCTGTTACAACTGGTCCCTCACAGTAAATGTTTTCACTGGCTGTTATAAATGTTGTGACAATTTTACATTTCTATTTTTTCTCTTAATAAGTAAGAAGTTTAAAAATTTTAATTTTACAACTAGTTTAAGGCAAAGAACGTATTTTTAAAATAGATATACATTTATATAAATTGGGCATGAAGGGGTTAAAAAATATTTACGTAAATATGACTAAAAGGAGCCTAAAATGTTTTAACTCTAAGCATTTAACCACTGCCACCTCGTCTGGTTCTAGTTTTTCTGCTCTCCAAGCCTCCTTAGCAGCCATGACTCTTGTTTATAAGCTAAATCAGTTTATTCTATTATCATCAACAAAACTCAGATTTAGATATTTTGCTGGGGTGTGAGAGCCAAATCCTACTGATATGAATTAATTGAGAAAAAAACCCCCCACAAAACTCTTCTTTCAGAGTGGACACTAATAGAAGGGTTTGAGACACCTTCTTATTATTTATCCACCCACGTCGAGGATAAATAAATACTGTACTGCAAGAAAGGCTTTCTGTAGGCAATAAATAGCCTTTTCAAGAGATGACCCAAAGCAAAGAATAATGGTATCATCAGCATAAGAATGCATATTAGCATCAGAGAAATTTTGCTTAACATTGTTGATGTAAAAGATAAAGAGGGGACCAAAAACAGAACCTTGTGGCATGCCCTTTTGAACAGTAACAAATTCAGAACAAAGCCCCACATTTTATACACTGGGACCGGTTTTCTAGATAATTTGAAAATTAAAGCAACCACATCCTCTGACAGGACAATAAGGAGTAGCCTGCGTTTTAAAATAGCATGGTCTATGGAGTCAAAGGCTTTTGAAAGGTCAATAAAAAGTAAATCAGATGGACTGATTCAGGCTGGATATTTCCTATTCTCTATCTGCTGCTGGAAGTTAGAGACCCTTTAATAAAACACAGGCTCTGCTCTACAGAGAGGCTCAACTTGCTGAGAAACTGGAGCTCAATGACAGAGAAGGGAAGATTCGGCACCTGGCATTTGGACCTCTAGAGAGTTTCCTGAGTCTATCTGAGGTCCAGCATGGCTCCACAGTTTGCTTAAAACTGACCAACTAAAATGGTTTTAAATTTGAGCAGGATCCACAATTGAAACCATGTAACACCATTGAGACAGAAGGAAATGTCTCTCTGGTAATTGGATGGAATAGGGGGACATTCCCAGCACCTTCCCTAGAGATGCTTCTCAGACAAGCAGAAAAAGACTTTTGGTCATAAAGGGGGAAAATCTGATAAAAATTCATTTAAAGAACTTAAAGATATCAAAGTTCTCTTCAGAGGCCGTCCAATAGTTCACATCAGCAGGTCCAAAGGCTTTAAAGAAGCTGGGGATGGATGTGCTGGATCAGGAGAACCAGAGTAAAGTTCTTGGACAGCTGAGGGTTCAAAGCTGTTCGTCCGGCTCCAGGTGCACCACTTGGGCCTGTAGCGCCCCCCAGAGGACAGTAATGGAAATGCATCTAATAAAAGAAGAACTGCTTTGCAGGAAGACCAGAGATGTGAAAGTCTCTGAGCTGCTCCAGGAAGTGTGTCTAAGCTCACCAAAAGAGATGATGGAACAGATTAAAACAGATCTTCACTCAATTTGATGTCTGAAATTAAGAAAAAAGAAAATCAAAAATATCTGACTGAAAACCCTGAAGAAATTCCCTGAGAAACCATAATTTCCTCACTGAGCTGTTTGCAGCAACAGGTTGAAGAGTTGAACCACTAAAAACTGTGCAGACAACATCTAAAATAAAATCATTCAAAATAAAAACATAAAAAACTGCATCACAATAAAGCAAACCTGCTGCCTTAAAACTTTAGTAATGGAGCCCTGGCAGAAGTTCAACTAAAGAAACTCATTGCTTTCCTTCATCCACCTGCGACACAGCCAATCAACTTTGAACCACACCTCCAGGAAAGCCAATCAGCATCCAAAGTTCATCTTAAAAGGCCTTCAATCCACACGTCTCTGCTTCTGTGTGCAGATGGTGGTTGCACTGTTTGACCTGCAGATGACCCTGTTTCAACCCACCTCCATGAGTTTTTCAGATTGAATTAAGCTTCATTACAGATTAACAGAATCACCATGGAGAGCGTTCTGAGCAGCTGTCTCACTGTGTGGTGTGGAGGCTGCAGCGCCTCAGACTGGAAGAAGGTGAGAAACGCAGAGAGGATCATTGGGGGCTCCTCTTCCCTCCATTAAAGGCCCTTCATACCAGCGCTGCGTGTCCCGAGCCCGTGACATCATCAATGATCCCTCACCCCCCCACCATGGACTGTTCTCCCTGCTGCCCTCTGGGAAGAGGCTTCAGAGTTTTAATGCAGGTCAAGTTTCTTCCCCACTGCCATTAGACGGCTGAATGTTTTGTAAAATGAGTTATTTTATTGTATCTTATTATATCTTTTATATTTATTATATTTTAGTATTTAAAAAAAAACAAATGTTAGAACTGTAAATATACAGTCAAATGTTTATATTAGTTTTTATGTATTTTTTACTGTTTTCAAGGCTGCACTTTTAAAAAATGAAATTGTCTAGAGGGCTGTTCTTAACGAAAGCTCTTTTTGTTTATACTTGTGGGTACAAAATTTCAAAATAAATCAATTTAAGTCTAATTGTTGATTTCTCGTTCAAAATGAATCAGAGAAAAAAGTTGAAGAGTTTCATTAAATTAATTTCAAACAATTGAGCCACTAAATGGAGATTTATTCAAATTTCATCTTCATTGTTCCAAAGAGAAAAAACAATATCAGACATTAAATAACAGAGAAGATCAAACAAAGAAGAAAAAACATCTCTAAACTCAGAGTTTATCATCAGGATCCAGTCAGAGTCTATTTAAACTTAAACTGCTGCAGCTTCAAACTCTGTGGATCATCAGGACACAGATCAGCTTCTCTCCTCCACTAAGATCATCATGAGTCCCACTTCCTGCAGAGAGAAGAAGAATGAACAGAGGAGATCAGTGAGTGGTTCCAGGATCTCGCTCTCCAACAGCTGTCAGTCAGTGATGCAGCACATCCTAGATAAAGATCAGCAGGTGTTTCAATCCTGATGGATTCAATCCAACCATTTACTTACAGAATCTCCAGTTTGTAGTTTGGATTCTTTATAAGATCCTGAAGCTGCTGAACATCTGATTCCTTCAGCTTGTTATACATCAGGTCCAGATGTTCCAGATGTGAGGGGTTTGACTCCAGAGCCGAGACCAGGGAAGCACAGCTGACCTTTGACAAACCGCAGCTCCTAAATCTGGATGATGAATGGAAAGATGTGAGCTGATCCAACAGGATGCAGGTTAGAACACTCAAACAGAACCAGCTAAAGATATCTCATTAATATTAATGACAACAAGCTGCTCCATTAAAGACCTGCTGACTTCAACAGGGAGAAGGAGAAATCACACACAAGACCAACCATAGAGCAATGTGGTTCTCCTCACTGGGTTTTCGTCAAAGCAGACAGAAACCCAAACAGGACTCCAGCAGAAGACATACCCACACCCAGGCTTGGACTGATAATGTGTGATAGTGGACCAGTCCTAATTTCAGAGTGTAAGGGCCGGCCATCCTTAAATCATGCTCCTACCTGTAACAGTAAATAACTCAAGGAGCTGAAGAAGTAACACAATGTTAACTCCCTAAATGATGCCTGCAGTATATATAGCCCTTCCTTGTCATGCTTATCCTTGTGATGGTTGGCCGAAATTGTTCCCAGTCTGAGCCTGCCCTGACCATTAGTCATTCCCTAAGTTGGTGGGTTTCAGACAAACTGAGATCACATAAGACTGGTTCAACCCAAAGACCCATTCCAATGGTACCAACAGGGAACGTTGGATAAGCTGTTGGAGTCCAACAAAGCTGCCTCTGGGCCAGTACAGTAGACCCAAATCATCAGGCCAAGATACAGCATTTTCACTTACCTTAACTTGGACAGAGGATTATACATAGCCATTCTGGTGAAGAACAAAGTACACTATATTGCCAAAAGTATTTGCTCACCCATCCAAATTATTGGAATCAGGTGTTCCAATCACTTCCATGGCCACAGGTGTATAAATTCAAGCACCTAGGCATGCAGACTGTTTTTACAAACATTTGTGAAAGAATGGGTCGCTCTCAGGAGCTCAGTGAATTCCAGCGTGGAACTGTGATAGGATGCCACCTGTGCAACAAATCCAGTCGTGAAATTTCCTCGCTCCTAAATATTCCACAGTCAACTGTCAGCTGTATTATAAGAAAATGGAAGTGTTTGGGAACGACAGCAACTCAGCCACGAAGAGGTAGGCCACGTAAACTGACGGAGCGGGGTCAGCGGATGCTGACGCGCATAGTGCGAAGAGGTCGCCAACTTTCTGCAGAGTCAATCACTACAGACCTCCAAACTTCATGTGGCCTTCAGATTAGCTCAAGAACAGTGCGCAGAGAGCTTCATGGAATGGGTTTCCATGGGCGAGCAGCTGCATCCAAGCCATACATCACCAAGTGCAATGCAAAGCGTCGGATGCGGTGGTGTAAAGCACGCCGCCACTGGACTCTAGAGCAGTGGAGACGCGTTCTCTGGAGTGACGAATCGCGCTTCTCCATCTGGCAATCTGATGGACGGGTCTGGGTTTGGCGGTTGCCAGGAGAACGGTACTTGTCTGACTGCATTGTGCCAAGTGTAAAGTTTGGTGGAGGGGGGATTATGGTGTGGGGTTGTTTTTCAGGAGCTGGGCTTGGCCCCTTAGTTCCAGTGAAAGGAACTCTGAATGCTTCAGCATACCAAGACATTTTGGACAATTCCATGCTCCCAACTTTGTGGGAACAGTTTGGAGCTGGCCCCTTCCTCTTCCAACATGACTGTGCACCAGTGCACAAAGCAAGGTCCATAAAGACATGGATGACAGAGTCTGGTGTGGATGAACTTGACTGGCCTGCACAGAGTCCTGACCTCAACCCGATAGAACACCTTTGGGATGAATTAGAGCGGAGACTGAGAGCCAGGCCTTCTCGTCCAACATCAGTGTGCGACCTCACAAATGCGCTTCTGGAAGAATGGTCAAAAATTCCCATAAACACACTCCTAAACCTTGTGGACAGCCTTCCCAGAAGAGTTGAAGCTGTTCTAGCTGCAAAGGGTGGACCGACGTCATATTGAACCCTATGGATTAGGAACGGGATGTCACTTAAGCTCATATGTGAGTCAAGGCAGGTGAGCAAATACTTTTGGCAATATAGTGTACATCTTAATGTACTTAATACATCTTACCTTAATGTCTTTAGTTTGCAGTCGGTAGACTGGAGAAACCCACAGAGATCCTTCATTCCAGTGTTCAGAACGATCCCATTCAGAGTTAGTTCTGTCAGATGGGATGGATTAGACTTAAGAGCTTTGCCCAGAGAAGCCAAGCTGATCTCTGACAAACTGCAGTTAATCAATCTGAAAAAAAGAATTCAAAGAATTCAAAATTCAATTTCAGACGATTCAAAGGGCATATGTAACATCTGCTTGCTGTGTGTGTATGAAAGCTCTCAGTATATCAGCATTGTGCTCAGTTGACTTTACGCACAGCAGCTACTAGGTCGCTCAGCTCCGCGGATACCGTTTCTGCTCACTTTTCACTCTATAATTTTTTTCTCTCTATCAGCAGCCTGGATTGTGAGGAGGAAGAAGATGAGCACTTGCTGCTTTGTGATCCGGTTTTTGAGTAAGTTTTTTTTTTATTTGTAGTATATCTACAGTGCCTATACAGCATGTGTAAGAGCTCACATAAAAACATTAGGAGAAACTACACCAAAAGGGTGTTTATAAAATGCTGCAGTATATATTTCTCACTCCCACTGTCCGATGCAGGAGAAGGTTTGTGCTGCAGAAAAAGATTACCAGGCAAGCTGCAGTGCTTTGTGATTTATGTGCTGTTTTCAAGGGATTTTTCTTATCTATTGTGTCTGTACAACACGTCTTTGCTCTTTTTGAAAAAGAACTTGCATTAAAAAAAAACAATAGGTAAAATAACACCAAATCTGTATTCGTAAAACAATGCTGTATATATTTTTCCTCCCCCACCGAGATTGATTCAGAGAAAGTTATACAACTTTTTAGATTTTGTACTGTGTGTAATAAACTACTTTGTTGTCATAAATACTTTTATTAATTTTTATAGTACGGAGGATGTACCGGGACCATCACATATACAGCAGGCCAAGTCCACTGCCACAGCTGAGACTTCATTCTCTTGAAGGTGAGATTTCTATTCTGCAAAGATCTGAATAGATGCATATATTAATCCTGATGTATGATAACTTCTTTAGATTTAAGTTCCTATGACGATTAGAAGTCAGAATGAGTGTTATTGTATTCAGAGGAAATGTATTCTTCAACATGTATTTGATTTGTTTTACAGCAATGATGCTCCAGAGGAGAAGGAGTCCCAGCCACCTCCCAGGCAGCTACGTTCAGCCTCAAGCCTCAACATTGCACAGAACACAAATGAAAAGGCAGAACGGATACTAGCCGACGGAAAGTAAATCAAATGGTCACGCAGTTTTTAGCACATTTTTAATTTAGCATATTTTTTTTGACAGGAGCTTCTGATTCTAATTTATTTTCACATTTTTGTAGTTTTTGCTTCCAGAGGTGAACTGGTTGAAAGTTTGAAGCTTGAATGAACAGCCAGTCTGACCCAAACAATCTGTCTCTATCTGATATCCGGCCCCCCACTGACCTTTATTTAATAAACTCTCCGGGGATGAAATGTAAATATGAGGCCTTGCCCACTGACCCCTCCCTACCCTGAAGACATCTGTGAAGTTGCCTTTTTGGTCAGCTGATGAACTGTTACAGCTGTCATGGACATGGACCCAGGGACTTCATGGAATTACTTTGTACACACATCGATGCTGAGATATGATAGACAAACCTGTCATCCTTCTGGATCATTTATCCTGGAAGATGTCAAGATGCATCTGTGTCTGCTTATGTGCTGAGTTATTTTGCAGTCTCTGCAAAGGACTTCTTTGTTTTTGTTTTTTACTATAAGGGCATCACCTTTTATGGCAGCAAGGCCTGGGACAAGGCGTCCCTCCTTCTATATAATGTGTGTGTAATATCTTTCTGTGTGGTTTCTTTGTATTCTTGGATGGGCTGCACCAAAACTGAATTTCTCTTTGGCGATTAGTGAAGTATAAATAAACTGAACTGAATTTAATTGAATTTAGCACAGACAGTCCAACAGAACTTTAACTCAAAGCTGAGGTGGAGGTACCCGGTTGTGCCATTGGTGTTTCATTTATTGTTTTATTTTTTGTGTTTTATTTTTTTAAAGATAGTATGTCTTTGTCTTTTCTCATTAAGTATTCAGTGTTAGATAATATTATTTTATTCTACTTTTTATATGATGTTTGTGGTGCTAAATGTGGTGGTTCTACTCTATAGGAACCAAATATCATTGTGAATGTAAATATGTGAGCCAGAAATGAGAAATAAAGCCATATTATGTTGTCTAATCATTTGAATCTTTTCCAAACCAAAATGAAACATCAACATCAATACTTAACATCATTTGGATGATTTTCTTAATTTTGTAAATTCGTGCTAAACATTTTATAGTTTAAATGATTTAATTTAATGATTTTGTTTTAATTTGCAGAAACAATCACCTCAGTTTCTTCACTTTGCATATTGAACTCTCCATTATCTGACACAGGCACTTCATTTCAAGGTCTCCAAAGGATCTATCTGCATAGATCTTCTGTATTTCCACTTCAATGAGGTGAAGGTTTGACTTCAGAGCCGAGGCCACAACTTCACATTCAGTTACATAGAGAGAACAGCCAAAAAGTCTGTGATTGGAGGAGAAATAATTCAGTTATAATGCAATCAGAAAATCTGGAACATAAACATAGGTTAAAACACCAATAGCAAACACTGACATCATCATCTGATCAACATCTGCTCTCCACATCATTGTCTTCTTTAACTCAGCCAAGGCTAGTGATGTTGCATGTCTCTATGGTGGGCTGTCCTTTGTCTCAGGGGAACAAAGGCTCGACTGGAAGAACAAACGGTTGCTAAACACATCAAGAAAGAGTTGAAGGCCCAAACCTTTGAAGGAGACAGAGCTTTTGGGTCAAGCACCATTTTTCAGGTGAAAGCAGTTCTCCTACTAACTAGAAGAGACTGGAATATCTAAGAAATTATTTTTATGGATAATTTTTATGGAGGAAATCTAAAAGCCACAAAGGCTGCAGATGAAGTGTTGAGAAGGCTTTGGGAGGATCTGACAGAAACTAGGCCTCCTGCAGAAATGATATTTTCTGAAATCATAAAAATCTTGGTTCTAATTTACAAACTCAGAGGGAAATTATTTTTGAAAAAGAATAAACTAATCTGGACCTTTAGTCCAGGTAAATCCTGAACTAATGGTCCAATGAATGAGGAGGTGTTTAAAGTTTCTGATGGGTCTCAGACTAATTGGACCATCAGAGAAAAAACACATTTTCTACATTCTGAAGGTTTTCTATTTATTTCAATGGAAGATAAAAACTAATCAAAAGTGTTTTTTTATTGATCCATATATCTAAACACCAAAAGTATCATCACAACTGTTCTGAAGGAGCTGAACATTTAAATGTTTGAATGGTCCAAAGGACAAAAGAAAATTTAATAAAACAAAAACATCCAGAAGCAACTACACCCATGAAGAGGAACCAGGAGGACAATAGAGCTGTATCAGAGACATCTGGACTTACCGAGCCTTTTTGCAGTTCCTAACAGCTGGAACCAGTCTACGTCGTCCTCCCTCTGAGGTGTTGTACTTCTCCAGGTCCAACTCACCCAGTACCTCCTCTGACATCTGCAGCATGTAGGCCAGAGCAGAGCACTGGATCTCTGAGAGCTTCTTGTCTGATCTGCTCCCTGATTTCAGGAACTGCTCGATCTCCTGATAAACTGAGAGGTCATTCATCTCAATCAGACAGTGGAAGATGTTGATGTTTCTATCAGGAGAGACATCATCATCAGTGTTCATCTCCTTCAGATTATTGATGACTCTCTGGATGGTTTCTGGGCTGTTCTCCATCTGACCCAGTAGGCCTTCTAAGAGGCTCTGGTTGGACTCCAGAGAGAGACCATGAAGGAAGCGAGCAAAGAGGTCTAGGTGGCCATTTAGACTCCTAAGGGATTTCTCCATGATTCTATCCATGAAGTTCTCGAGAGATGTGTCTTTGTATTCTCCTCCCAGGAAGCTCTCCACCAGCTTTGTGTTCCTGCTAGTGAAGCAGTGGAGCATGTAGACTGCAGCCAGAAATTCCTGGATGCTCAGATGAACAAAGCAGTAGACTGGTGTCTGGAAGATCACGCTCTCTCTTTTGAAGATCTCTGTACAAACGCCTGAGTATACCAAGGCCTCTGTGACATCCAGATCACACTGCTCCAGGTCTTCTTGGTAAAACATGGTGTTTCCTTTCTCCAGATGTTCCAAGGCCAGCCTCCCCAGCTTCAGAAGAACTTCCCTGTCAGCCTCCATCAGCTCCTGTGGACTCGTCTCATGTCCTTCATGGTACTTGTTCTTCTTCCTCCTGGTCTGGACCAGCAGGAAGTGTGAGTACATGTCAGTCATGGTCTTGGGCAGCTCTCCTCTCTGCTCTGTGGTCAACAGGTTCTCCAGAACAGTAGCAGTGATCCAGCAGAACACTGGGATCCCACACATGACGAAGAGGCCCCTGGAGGACTTGATGTGGGAGATGATCCTGCTGGCCTTCTCCTCTTCATCACTGAACCTCCTTCTGAAGTACTCCTCCTTCTTAGCATCAGTGAAGCCTCGAACTTCTGTTACCCTGGAAACATAGGAAGGAGGGATCTGATTGGCTGCTGCAGGTCGGGAAGTTATCCAGACGAGAGCAGAGGGAAGCAGGTTCCCCTTGATGAGGTTCATCAGCAGAACGTTGACTGATGACTTCTGTGTGACATCAGAAACAATCAGACTGTTGTTGAAGTCCAGAGAAAGTCTGCTTTCATCCAGGCCATCAAAGATGAAGAGAAGCTTCCAGACAGCCAGCATCTCTGCTGGGAGCTTCTGCAGGGTTGGATGGAAAACATGGAGCAGCGTGAGAAGACTGTGCTGCTGATCTCTGATCAGGTTCAGCTCCCTGAAGGAAAGCAGAACCACCAAGCTAACATCTTGGTTCTCCAAGCCCTCTGCCCAGTCCAGAGTGAACTTCTGCACTGAGAAGGTTTTTCCAACACCAGCGATGCCGTTGGTCAGAACCACTCTGATGGCTCCATGTTGGTCAGATAAGGCTTTAAAGATGTCATGGCACCTGATTGGAGAACCATGGAGGTTCTGGATCTTGGAAGTCCTCTCCATCTGCTGAACCTCATGTTGGGTATTAACCTCTTCACTCTGTCCCTCTATGATGTAGAGATCAGTGTAGATCCTGTTGAAGATGGTTTTGCTCCCTGTTTCATCACTTTCTTCAGTCACATGTTCACATCTCCTCTTCAGACTGATCTTATGTTCCTGTAGAACCTCCTGCAGATCATCATCTCCTGAAACACAAAAGAGAAGATGGCTATAAGTACAAATCTAAATTTAATGATTTAATGATGAAGTTGGGACCAAAGCATCTGAAGCATAAGGAGGTGTTGTGTTTATAGGTGTCTTCCTTCTCATGATGTTATTTTAAACAATCCAATCTATCCTCAGAACCAGAACCCTGTTTAACTGTCAGACTGCATCTTTTTTGTTTCTGTTGACTGGCCTGTACCTGATTACTGATCTGATTTTCAAAGCAGGGAAGATAAAGAAATGCTGACAGAAACATAAATCAATTTCCATCAACATGAACTCTTTAGCATTACAGTATTTAACTGATTGACTGGTTCTGTTGGATCTTCACCTACAAACACACCAGCTCCAGAAGAGGCAGACAGAAGAAGTTCCTTCAGAATTTTTGAATCTTGATGATGGAAATCTAAAGGAACTTATCTAATCATCACAGAAGAGTTGATTGGAGCAGCTAGTGTTCACTTTTAAATGGCATTTCTAATTTTATGTTGTAAATTTTTAAAGAATAATTGATGGTCTCGACATGACATGAGACTGATTTGATCATTTAGACAATTGTCCGAATTATCCCATGATGTAAATATAGATGTGTATCCTGAAATTGTTGATTTATTGTCAGAGGTAATCAAAGTTTCCATCTGGAGCGAGGGGTGGCCAAGTGGTTAGGTCATTACGCTTGGGTCCCAAAAGGTCTGAGTACAAGCCCCACTCCTACAGACTGCCACTCTGGGTCCCTGAGCATGGCCCTTAATACCACATGCTTCCCAGGTGCCGCACAATGGCAGCCCACTGCTCACCAAGAGGATGGGCTAAATGCAGAGAGGGAATTTTGTTGCTTTGTACTTGTGACAATGTAATGACAATAAAAGTTGAATTCTCTTCTCCCAGACTTTTCTTACAGTGCAGAAGGTTACCATCTCTGTGTTTTGGTTTAAATGCATAAAATGACCTACAGCTTTAGGAGCTGCTCATTTTTATTTATTTATTATAATTTTTTTTTGCATTTAGCCCAAAGGTCTGATCAAAGCAAACCTAATTTGATGTTGGGTTGAAGAGAGATTGACAGAGAACAGGGAATTTAGTTGGAATAATTGATAAAAGAAATAATTTGAGAAGCTTGAATCCCTAAATCCTACTAAAAATCTGGAATTTGTTCTTCGGAGACAAAGAAGGAAGCTCTGATTGGAGGATTCATTCTTACCTGCTGCAAAGCTGATCTGATTGGCTGTCAGCTATCCAGCTTCAGTTTTGGGTCTTTCTCCACACTGGGGTTTACTCCTCTTCCTCCATCTGTAAAAACATGTCTTTATCACTGATTTAGTTCACTACCAACAGGGTGGGGCTTTCCTACTGAAGCTCAAGATGTTCATGATGGCTCAGCTTAAACAGAGGACCAGAAGCTGGGTCAGAACCGCCACTTTGTTGTCTGTCTATTTTCTGTCCGTTTTGGATCCAAACTAGGAAATAATCAGGCACCCAGGTTAGAGTTAACTGGTTTCAGTGGGGAGCCTGTACTCGTCGTCTCCCGCTTTATCCGGAACCGGGTCGTGGGGGCAGCAGACTAAGCAGAGACTCCCAGACTTCCCTCTCCGCAGACACCTCCTCCAGCTCTGCTGGGGGAAGCCCTAGGCGCTCCCAGGCCAGCCGAGAGACGTAGTCTCTCCAGCGTGTCCTGGGTCGTCCCCTGGGCCTCCTCCCAGGGGACGACCTGGGGAGGAGGCCATTATGTTATTTAACCTGATAGGTTATTCCAGCTTTGTTCTGAGATCCTTTGTTTTATTAACTTGAAGATGAATCTGATTCAAGACTAGACTAACCTTGGAAGGAAGCGTAGTTTAGGCCAGTGGTGTCAAAAGTACACACATTTGTTACTTAAGTAGAAGTATAGATACTGTAGTTTAAAAACACTCTGGTAAAGTTGAAGTATCAACTTGACCTCTTAACTCAAGCAAAAGTGAAAAACGATGCGCTCCAGAAAATACTTAAAGTATAAAATTATAAAGTAACCTTTTAAAAAAACAGCCAGATGCAACTATATTAATGGAAAGCTCAATTTTTCGACTATTTCAAAAAATTCTTTGAGATAGGGCCAAGGATGAGGGAGGTCTTGTTGGTCTCCTTCTCCTGATACGCTCTCGCCTGTGTCCAACTTTTCAGACATTTCAAGATCTTTTTCTGAATCAGACATTCAATCCAATCCAATCCACTTTATTTATATAGCACATTTAACAACAGAAAAAAGTTTCCAATGTGCTGTACATAACAAATAAAAACAACAACACAGCAATACATGAACACAATACAACAATAAATAAACTAAAAAGGAAACAGTGGACCACACAAACTACACGTTGTTAAAAGCCAAAGAGTAAAAGTGGGTCTTAAGACGAGACTTAAAACACTCCACAGTAGAGGCAGTCCATATATGGAGGGGCAAAGTATTCCAAAGTCTTGGGCCAACTACAGAAAAGACTCCGTCCCCTCTGGTGATAAGCCTCGTCTTAGGCCCTGTCAACTGAAGATGGCCCTCAGACCTCAGAGCACGTACCAGAGAATAAATCTGGAGGAGATCAGTGATATATTGAGGAGCCATCCCATTCAGGGCTCTAAACACAAACAATAAATTCTTAAAACCCATTCTAAAATGAACAGGTAGCCAGTGCAAAGACGCAAGAACTGGTGTAATGTGTTGATGTTTTCCGGTCCCTCTTAAAAGACAAGCCGCTGCATTTTGGACCAACTGCAGACGGGAGAGACCTCGGTGGCATTTCCAGTGAAGTGGACGGAATAGGATTAAAAACAGAGTCAACCGTTTTAAAAAGAATGCGAGGCTTGCTGAGATTATTTAAGATTAGATCAGAAAACACTTGTTTCTCTAAACCCTAACCACCCTCTGATACTTTTTCCAGCTCCTCAAGAAGGTCTTTCTGACACTTGCGCTCCGCCTTCCAACAGTTGCGCTGAACTGCCCGCATATTGTCATTTAGCCATGGATTCTACTTTGGCTTGGGACGCATGATTTTACATGGAGCAACAAAGTCCAAGATCTTTGAGCATTCTGAAATAAAAGAGTTCATCAGATGCTCTGTGCCAAATGCAGCAGAATTTAACAAATTCTGTGAAGTAGCTAAAAAACTGTGAGAAAAAGAAGTGGCGATGTCATATTTTATAAGCCGACCATGACGCATTACCGGCATTTTCATGTCAACAGCCATACTAAGATCAAAAAGTACTGGGGAAAAATTTGTCATAGTGTGGCAATATAAAAACAACGAAGTTAGAAAAATCCTCAAAATCTTTGTTGTATTTCAATGGTCTGTAAACAACAGCACATAGTACTGAGTTTGTCGCAGCTCAAAACAGCTTAGTTCAAAAGATGACAAAGACCACTCCGATATCACTTTGTGATACACACAGTTCCTTAAAACACTGTAGACATTGTAGCATGGCATAGACAATTCACGTTTGCAGTTTCAAGAACACCTGCTTGCTTCTGATGATTTCCTTTAGCTAACCAATGAGTGTTTGCGTTATACGACTCATCCAATCACTAGTTTTCACAAGATGTGGCTGGAGCCAATGATCTGCATTGGATGGAGCACATGACGGGAAATAAATATTTAGAAACATTAAACCGAAGCCAAGAGTAACGAGTAACGTTTGTTTTAAAAATGTAAGGAATAGAAAGTACAGATACTTGTGTGAAAATGTAATAAGTAGAAGTCAGAAGTAGGAAGAAAAATAAGTAATGAAGTAAAGTATAGATACAGAAAAACTGTACTTAAGTGCAGTAACAAAGTATTTGTACTTCGTTACTTGACACCTCTGGTTTAGGCAGTGAGCTGAGCGGGAGCACAGAGTCGGTCTGCACCACTGAAACCTGATCAAACTGGGATCTATACAAATGAGCTTCTAGTGTCTCACCACACCATACGATTCAGTGAATTTAATACATTATTCAATAGATTCAGTTCAGAAACAAGCTCAGAATCTTGATCTCCTGCCCACAGGGCTAGCCAGTCTGACATTATATGAGGTAACTTTCCGAGGTTCTCAGCAACATGTCATTCGAACTGGTATTAGTGATGTACTGTAGTGGTCACTTGCATCTTGAAAATCTCAAACTATTTAGTGTCAAAAGTAAACATTAAATGTTTTGTTGTTTGCCAGCCACCAGAAGAAGAATAAATGTGCATGCACAGTTCAGTCTCTCAGGGTCAATCCGACTACGTCAAATTGTAGCACTAGCTCCTATCCCTTTCGCCTTTCGTGGGGTCAGAGTAATGAACACTATCCAGGGTAAGAAAGGAGCTCCAGATGGCTGTGCTGAATCCAGACATATGTCACACATGTTCACAAGTTTCAGTTGGCCAACATTTCTACAAAAAGCTTTTCTGTGTTGGTCTTAGATAATATTCAAGTTTTCTGAGCTTGATTTTTTTTAAAGGCAGTACCCACTGTCCAATGCAACAGCTGGGAATAGGTTGTTCAGTCGCTTTGTTGAGCTGTTAGTCATGATTCAACACCCAAGTCATCTCTGTCAAGGGGCTGAACGTTGTCCATGAAGATATGCAGCTTGCCCCAATTCACCTCCAACTTGACCCAGTGTCATAGCTGAGGACAAAGGGTTCTAAATTATCTCCAGGACTCACCTGAGGCATATGCTTTACATTTGGACTTCACTAAAAACCTGAAAAAATAGATTCTTCTGCATGTAACTAGTAACCAGTGAATCAAAGGTCAGCCGGTCACCAAGGTTGGTTAAAACAGCTTTAAACTGTTTTCACTGTAGTGTTGATTATATTGTATCTGTGGGTGCAGAAAAATAAAAGAAAGATTTTTAACTGTTTTAAATATTTTAATTATGTTTAATTACAGTTTAGAGCATTTTAGAAGATTGGAATGTTTTAGATATTTCAGGGTGTAACCCTATTTTTAGGGGCAATTGGAATTAAGTCAGCTTTCTGTTCAACTGTTTATAACTAAGTCAGCCCAGCTTCAGTAAGTATGATTCATCTTACACATGCTTTATTTCAGTAGATAAAATAGTAATTCAAAATTGCCACTACTATGTCAAGAATATATCTAAAGAACATTATAAAATATACTCCAGACAGAAAGCTCCAGTAAACACACCTTAAAGTACTCTGGTTTGTAAGGTTCTCTGTCCTTACTTTTCTTAAATGCAACAAATTTGCAGACTTCTTAATTATTGATGACTGATTGAGTTTTATAGTGTGTCATTGCTGTTAGTGATGAAATAAGATTATATAAACATTCATTCTGAGTTGCACTTTTAAATTACAGCCTCTATCTAATCTAAGGTTTCTATGCTATGAGGGTGGAGAGAGCAGCTATGCAGCTAATGAACCCGAAATAGAAACCAAATTCAGGACAAGATTATGAGATTAAAGAGTCAGCACATGGGGCATCTACTCTATGACTGAACCACCCAGACACCCCAACAGAACCTGAACTGGATCAGAGGCAGGGTGATGCTAAGATTTGTTTGATGCTGGAAGGAAAGAGGTACTACAGAGATGCAGAAAACATGATGAGGCTCTGAATGGACGCAACCTGCAGCTCCATAGGTAGGACTGTGTGGAAAAAGACACCAAGGAGCCCGCTGCATTAAGGGCTGCTTCGACAGCCCAGTTCCACCTGCCCTGCTGATCCATGAAAAAGTGGTTTTCTATCTCTGTTTATTTAGATTTAGATCTGAACAACTAACTTTGGACCTGTCAGTAACGTGTTGGATGGTGATGATCAGACAGTTCTGTTGGATCCAACTTAACATGATCTGGAAAACTGGATTCTACTGGATAATGAGTTAAATCAAGGCCAGTTTTTTTTTATGTTCAAAGGAGCAGGGTGTTTATTTAAAAAGGACGTTTTAGTCGTTTATATTGTGGATCAAAACCCTCACCCCCATAGAGGGGACTAAAACACCTCACCTGTATCAACCAGGCCAACAATTTCCTCTAAAGACCCTCTTTCAGAGACATAGACAGGTATTGGGAATTACAAGCTAACATAGAATGGAAACGACCTCCATTCCTAAGGTCAGGACCCGTTCGTCCAGATCAATATGCATATTTTCTAAGCCAAAACAAGGTGTTTTGGTCCACTCTATCAAGCCTCAATCTTCTCACATTTCTCAAACGCTATTTCAGACACTTTGAATTGAAAAAGCTTCCTGGATGGGAAGCGAAACATCTTCAAAATTGTAAACCAAGTCCAGTGGTTTTTAACTTTTTTTTAATTAAACCTGATCATTGGTTTCCAGAAATAATGAAGATTACTCATTTCAGATTCTATAGATTCTATCTCTGCAGAGTCACATCCATCAACTAGAAACTTGTTTCTTACTTTATGTCTGAGGGTCCAGGTTCTGCACTGAAGTCTAGTAGATGTTCTTTGGACAAGTCACTCCTCATAGATGGGAAGCTGGATCCTGGAGATTCTGCTATCTCCTCCTTTATATCCCAATCTCCCATCTTCTGGAATTCAGTCACTCTGAAAGAGAAACCAGAACTCATCATTTCCCAGTGGTCCGGATCCAGTTAGTGTCAAGTAAAGCATAAAGCTGTTTCTCATCATGTGTTTAGAAGGTCCAGAGGATCCTGATTCTAGCAGAAACCATCTGGTTACAACTTCATGAACCTCCTGGTGTCTGCTGGGTCATCTCCCACTGCAGAAGTTCTTGATTTATGGGGGAAATTCCAGCTAAACTATATCTGGAACCCCAGGGACATCTTTAGGACCCTGTAGCCTATATTCATGGGTCCCTCAGCCCCAGAAAACATGCTTTATTGCAAGTGCAACATAGGCACAAAAAAAGAATAAAAATAGTTTAAGGACCATTAGCAGATAGCATTAAAATGCAAAGTGACCCCCTTTTTACTTTTCATTTAGGCTTCCTATATATTATGCCATTGTAAATATATTAGAGAATAGGCTCTTTTCAAGTTTGCACATGTCAAGCCAGTTCATTCTCTGTGCTACATTGGTTATACTATGTTGTCATTCCTATCTGGGTGAATAGGCCATGAAAGATTGTGATTGTGGTAAATGGCCGAACCCTCCACCAACCAGAGCTAACATACACTGCCTGGCCAAAAAAAAAAAGTCAGCTAAGCAAATAGGTACGAGCCTCCTATTGGATAATTACTGCATGGGCAATTATCTTTCAGCTGGCAACATGTTATTTAACCCCAACTGGTGCAATGACTTGCTTCTCATTTCCTAAACAACCATGTCAAAAGACACATCCCGTAGTCGTGGAAAAGATGTTAAACAGTTTGAGAAGGGTCAAATCATTGGCATGCATCAAGCAGAGAAAACATTTAAAGAGATTGCAGAAACTACTAAAATTGGGCTAAGAACTGTCCAACGCATTATTAAAAACTGGAAGGATAGTGGGGACCCATCATCTTCAAGGAAGAAATGTGGCCGGAAAAAAATCCTGAATGATCGTGATTGCCGATCACTTAAACATGTGGTGAGATCAAATCGAAGAAAAACAACAGTAGAACTCAGGGCTATGTTTAATACTGAAAGTAAGAGCATTTCCACATGCACAATTCGAAGGGAATTCAAGGGATTGGGACTGAACAGCTGTGTAGCCGTAAGAAAACCACTAATCAGTGAAAAAAAGGCTTCAATTTGCTATGGAGCATAAAGATTGGACTGTGGAGCAATGGAAGAAAGTCATGTGGTCTGATGAGTCCAGATTTACCCTGTTCCAGAGCAATGGGCCAATCAGGGTAAGAAGAGAGGCAGGTGAAGTGATGCACCCACCATGCCTAGTGCCTACTGTACAAGCCTGTGGGGGCGGTGTTATGACCTGGGGTTGCTGCAGTTGGTCAGGTCTAGGTTTCGGTCCTGGTCTTCATGCCAAGTGCTCTGAAACTACTTCCAGTGTGAGCAGAGGAGCTTGGAATGCTGCCTTACGGATCTTGGTCAAATTCCAAAAAAACAGGCTCCTACCTGTTGTGTCGTGCTTCTGTGTGACGGCACCCATCCAAATCAACATTTTAGCCTTGTGCCCGATGATCTGATTAAAGAGCTAAGACAATCTCCACTGCTTGTTCTCAAACAGGCAGTTTAACTGTTTTCTTTCAAAATTCAGGACTAAAAACCCGTCAATCTGGAGTTTTTATCTGCTGAGTACATAAAGCCGAGCAGGAGAAGCAAACACCAGAAATATTTCCGAGCAGTGACAGTGGTATGACACCATTATTGGGAAGAAAACTAGAATAAAGATGTTTTTAGCTGAATACGTTCTGATTATTCTGGTTCTGCTTAAGCCTGGAAAGAAAAGTTAAAGATTCTACTCACAGTGTTTCAGACAGGCTTAAACGATGTGTTGACTGCTAAAGAGAAACAGAAAGTTCTCTGATCATTTAGAGAGGCATCTCAAAATACAGGAACTGGACTTCTGCCAGGTTCCTCCCACATAAACAAAGCAGGCACTTAGAATCGGCAAAAAAAGGTTGGAAACATTTGTAGTCTGGCCTTATTCGGGACTTATTGATATAACATCACAAGCACTAATGTACTACACCAAGGTGAACCCAAACTTTCATTGGGCCTCAGGCAAAATGAGATATTTGAGCTGACTATTTCTGTCAGTTTACAGTCAAGAGAAGATCAGCATATTCAATACATTTAAGAAGTAAAAGTTTCATCAAGCATCTGTTACCTTCATAGTATCCATCCTTGATGGTGGGCAGGTTCAAGCCAATTCAAAAAATATAAAGGCAGTGCTGGATTGGCAAAAACTAGAGTCTGGAAAACAACTCCAACTTTTCTTACGATTCACTTATCTCTTCCACCACACCGCACTTAATTCTATTAAAACTGCTTTCAGATGGAGGGATGATGCTGATGGAACTTTTTAGACTGAAAGACAACTTCTCCTAGGCTTCCATTCTCACCTTCCCGGATCCATCTAGCAGCACATTTTGAGGTCGACACCTTGGACACAGGTGTAGGAGCTATAGTTTCTCAAAGATCCAAATCTGAAGAAAAAAGCTTAATCCATGTTCCTTATTCTCCCACGGACTTACGCAAACAAACATGAATTATTACGTTGGAGCTTTAGAGCTCCCGGCTATCAAATTAAGAGTGGTACCCCCTGATTGAAGGTCTCAGAACATCCTGTGCTGGTCTGGACAGATCGTATGAATCTCTCATATCTTCAATCACCTAAGAGACCTGCTGTCAGTCCCACTGGTCCCTCTTCTTCTCCTGATTTAATCTAGCATCTCCTACTGCCTGGGTTTTAATCATATCACATCATATTAGACAATCTCTTCCAACAATACACACCTGATGACTCTAATAAGGAACCACCCACAATCCTTCCTCCTACCTGCAACACTTGAGCTTTAATTCGGGAGTTTAAGAGGCAGGTCCTCCAGGCCCAAGAGGAAGAACCTGATCAAAGTAATAGTCTACCGAACAGAACCTATGTTCCCACCAAGGTCCAATCCCACTTGATCCATTGATGTCATTCATCCAAGTTGTCAGCACACCCCGGTACTAGTTGTACTATAGCTCTAATAATGCAACTGTTTTTAGCATTTACTTAACCATATAAAGTTACCTTAACACAATTGTTTCAGGTTAGCAGGGTAGGACAAAAAAACAATTGTGTTAAAGTAACTAAAAATGATTAAGTAAATGCTAAATGTGGTAGCATTACTTTCTTCAGTGTATAGACTTTACTGGTAGCCGTATCTACACAAGGATTTCAAGGAATATGCATCAGCATGCCCAGTATGTGCTGGAATCAAGGCCTCTGGTGGACTCATTCAGTCATTAACTGTTCCTAAAAGTCCTTGGTCCCATATCTCTCTGGACTTAAACACCGGCTGACCACCTTCAAGAGTTTTAGTCAGTTCCTACCATGAGTCGAGTATGCACATAACTCACATCTCTGCTGCATCAGGTCTGTCTTTATTTGAAGTCTCTCTAGGATATCAACCACCAGTTTTTCCTTTGGATCAAGGAAAGACTGCAGTTACATCAGGTCACCATCACATCCATTGCTGTAAAACATCTGGTCCAGTATAGTCGCGGCTCTCAACCTCACTACAGAACAAGAACTCAACAGATGGTCACAAAAAAACAGTATAAACCACAGGGCTAAAAGGATTGCTTTCATGACATGACATCCTGTTAAAGTCCATGACTAAGAAACTTTCAACCCCGTTTCACTGATCCATATGGGATAGAATCTATAATCAGTCCCTTCGCTGCCTGACTCAATCTTCCCTCCAGCTTTAAAATTCACCACCTTCCGTTTTTCTCAGATTTAGGCTGTCCAAAAAGCACATTATACATATTTTAACAAACATCTCACAAACAAATCAACTCCCCTTGAATTTCACAGCACTAACCACTTTGCTTTCTTTCCTGGATTTGGTGGATGTCAAACTCCAGTTTCCGGTATTCGTTCTCCAGCTGATTCTAACTTGTTTTTTTTGTATTTTTCAATAAACACTTTAAATTCTTATCTGCCTCCTGTGTGTTCTGCATGTTAGAGTAATCTCTAAAAGTATGATATTTAGTACTAGTGCCAAAACCAAAATGTTGGTATTGTAATAACCCTAGTTGAAAAGTAATGTCTGACCTTCATTTGTTCATTTTCATCGAATTATTTATCATTGCTTTTGTCACAGAATAAAACCTATCATTCAGTGCACTAAAAGATTATAAAGAAGACAAATGGAGATTTAATAGTCTTTTTAGGGATTAAATTAAAATGGCTTTTATAAAAGCCACCCAGATAACTCTTCAGGGCATTCCTCACTTCATAACAGAAAATTATACTAGCTTGAAAGAACTAATCTCTGTTTGATTTAAATTTTTCTGCATTTTTCATTTGGTGTTTTGGAATAAATTCCAAAGAAAAATAATATTAATAGAATAACATAAGATATTATCTTAAACTACTACTTAAATTAAGCTATATGCAACTAACCAAAACAAACCTCTAAATATGCTGCATAAATAAGGCCATGAAAGGAGTTCTTTGGTGCTAATAACTAAATGCATATTAAAGGACATTGCATGTTCTGATTTGCTCGGTGGGAAGAACTATTTAGTTGTCTTTTGTTACATCTACAGTATAATGCTGTCTGTAAGATACTAGTACCAAGGACACCCAATGCCACAATAAAAATAATGCATGTTTACAACATTATATCTTTAAGACTCTTCCTGTGACTGTTGCATCTGCAGAGCAATGCTTTTCCGTCGTGGAAAATGTAGAATTTGAAACAAGAGGACAAAATAGTCAATTATTTATTCTGTAAGACGCTTCACTTTAAAATACAATCAACACCAACATTCAGTTAAATTGTATGAATGATAAAATGAAATACCTCATAACAGTTACAAATATTGATGATACTGTAGATGAGAGTTTTGGATAAACATAATCTAATCTGTCTAGTGAGGGCAAATGTCTCGAATCCAGAGTTTATAAATGTGTTATGTATCATACTATGAATATGTGTCAGTGTAGCATTTTTTTTTTTGTTTGTTTGTGTGACAAAGTGGTTCAGTTTGTGTTCGTCACTTGTACCTTATTCTTATTTTGTATTTATAATGCCTAACTTTAAACATTAGTTTGCAACCTTGCCTTACTATCCCAGGTTTGTTTGTGTTATGTATTAATTTGCGGTTTCCATCTATTAAAATATTTATGTTAAAGCTGCTACTTCCCGACTATTGATTGAACTTGTTTATTTTGTTTCAAAGTATATTCATGATATTTGTTTTCCTTTTTACTAAGCATTGTTTGTCCCTGTATTTCCTGCTAAAACGACTGGATGGTATCATTGATTACCTTGCTGGGTTCTACCAATTAGAGGGTTGCCTTTGGGAAAATGCTTTGCTTGTTTTATTTTAAAGTAACTTTTGAGTTATCTAGTGTCACGTTATTTATTTTGCAGACTCTTTTATTATGCAGATAAGTTTGTAACTTAGTTTAATAACTTTATTCTTTTTTCTCTGTTAAGACTTTGTTTATTTTTTCTACCTGTATAGTTGTGGCTTTGTCCACTCAAGTGTAGGTGTGTTGCCAATTGGGGATACAAACAGTGAGTTCCGGGAAGCTTTAAGGGAATGTTTGGTCAGAGTGAAAAAGACTAAATGGAAAACGTTCACCTTGCTGATCCTTGACCAAACTACCTGAAAGCTTTTTTTTTGTGTGTGAGTGTTTGTGTTTTTTTTATAAACATGAAGGATGTGTTGATATTCCACTAATATGGTGCTCAGGTTTTTATTTCCTGCTGCTAAAGAGGAGACATCCTGGAGGTTTACCTGCTCCAACACACATTATCTGTTTGACCAAATCTCCTTCTGCATACAAATATTAAATTTACAATATCTGAACCAAAGGAAAAAAAAAATTCAGAAAACAAAGATGCCGAATGTTCTGTATCATTTGGGCTCAGTTACTGACCAGCAGAGGGCAGCAAACTCTATGTTATAAAGATGGTTTTATTACAAAGTCTGCAGTTTGAATGTATACAAAACATTACTCCAAATATTTCTATTCAGTTTACTTCCGTTTATTCACATAACACCAATTCACAATGCATTTCATCTTAAGGAACTTTACAAAGACTATTCAATCAGTTCCTCCTGTCCGATTGGATCAAATTTTTCTATTCAACTGATAGCACTGACTCATTGCCTCGACAGCGGTTCCACAGACAGAGCATGCATGTAATGGAAGTAGAGAGGAAAATGTCCTTTTAACAGGAAGAAACCTCCAGTAGAACCAGGCTCAGTATAAGCAGCCATCTGTTGAGGCCGACTGGGGTTCAAGGAAATAAATGCTAAAAGGTAACTGTTAATCATCTCCACATGTGGCACCGTCAAGGAAACACATAGCCAGGCAGATGAGCTCCAAGCCAGTAGCCATGTCAGAGAATGAAAGGGAGCACATACAGTTATTCACTGCTAAGAAACAGGGCTACACTCCAACACACGGTATATGGGAAGAAGAAGTGTAGATATCAGATATTTAAATTAAGACAGAGCCTAATTATTTGGGGCTTTATATGTGAGAAAGGGGATTGTAAATTCATTTCTGGAGCTCATCCGTCTGGCTGTGTGTTTGCTTGACAGCTGCCTTTTGTATCTATGCTTCTTTTTCTATGTCTGCTTCTGTCTCCTTGAACCCCAGTGGGCCTCAACAGATGGCCGCTCACACTGAGCCTGGTTCTGCTGGAGGTTTTCTTCCTGTTAAAAGGGAGGTTTTCCTCTCCACTGTCGCTATAAGCATGCTTAGTGTGAGGTGTGAGTGAAAAACATAGATTTTAAGACATGATTTTGTTTATTTTTTTTTAT